CTGTATCCTCTAAACTTTGCTGTGTGAACAGAATCAACACTTTTTGTGGACCGGGCCTGCCCGACCAGAGGACTGTTCGGTGTTTTGTGTTGAAGGATCGCGGTCCAGCTGCAGCCGGTCGGTACTGAAGACCCGATCTGCAGCTGTCAGGATCCGTTGGACGTCTTCTGCTGCCACGGACCTAACTTTTCCCTTTACTAATCCTAAACGTATTTTTCCAACTCACCACACGCTTTAACTGAGAGCTTCTCCACCACCGAGTCCTCATTTAACTTCCAGCACAGCTTAGCTGCTGCCGACATTAGTTTGGTAATCAATCACTTTTTGTATTTCAGCTGATGCCCCCCCGCAAATAAAAATAAGGTCTCATTAGAAGAAAACTAATATCTCATACCTTGTTTGAATCATAATCCATCTTCTAACAAGGACTTTGGGAATATTTGGGTTCAGTTTAACGAAGCAGCTAATTAGTTTTTCATTGGGAACTCATCCAAGATGGCTGCTCGTACAGAAGTTTCAAGTTCTATAAAAAACATGTTTATTAGTCAGAGTCGCTCCAGCTGCCCATCAACTTCTATTAACTTTACCAACTAAATGACCATCAACCCTCCTGCTGCCCTGGGGTCAAAAATACTTTAGTTTTAAAACAGAGGCCTCCTGGTCGTTTTAACATTTATTCATTACTGAGCTGATTGATCAAAGTAAAACACTGATTTCTTAAATTGCAAAACTCCAAATAAGCATCCCATTTTTTATATTTATTATAAAGTCTTTATTTATCCTTTGTTATATTTCTCATATCTTCATGCAGGCTGATGTTCCAGTGCCAGCAGAAGAAGAACGTTGACTGTGAAACAGAAGAATTCAGTGATAAATGTGTGGATGTATAAAAACAACTGAAATATGATCCCAGAGATGGAGAGTGCATGTCAACATCTGTGCAAAGATGATAAATAAAACAGATTAGAGGATGTGACGGACTCTGCACACTAACCCCCAGGATCATGTCTTTTTTATGCACAAGCTGTAAAACGATCCTCTGAAATCATGATCCAGAACTTTTCAAAAACAAAACGATAAACGCGTCTGCTCGCTGCATCGTTCAGGTTCCAAGGCCACGACGAATCTTGAAGACTGATAACTTCTACTGACAACTCCATGAAATAAACATTTACAGTCACTCTAATCAAAAGTACTAAAATTAGCCTTTTTCATAAAACATTTTTATGATGCAACAAAACAAACACGCCTCTCAGTGAACTTCCTCCTCCCGCCAGAATTAGAGCTTTACTACATGATGCTTTGCATTGTCACAGTAAATGTGTGCAGAGCATCTATTTTAGATGTGGCAACCTTCTGCCATCTCTCCATCACATCCTCCAGCTGGGTTCCCTCAGACTCCACTGTCATGGCTTTCTTACTACCCCACCTAGTGGCTCAGAGGCGTAACAACAGCGAGTTGACCCTGGATTGTGCCTCCAGGAACTAAAGGCCTCTGAGAACGGGATGGAGGGTCCAGAGGTATAAAAAGGAAGAAACGGAGCTACTCTGGAGGTTTTCAGTTGGTCCTGTTTTCCAGGTTTGATCCTTGACCAGAGGTTACGTACATGGGGCATGGTGTCGGTCCAGGTGTCACGAGGAAACCCAGGATCCAGGTAAACGACAACGGGAGCAATCAAAGGTTCAAACAATGAATGAAGGCCACAACGATCCCTCAGACGGCTGCTCAGTCCGGCGCTGGATGATGCTCTGCGCTCGTCTTAAATGCTGTGGTGACGATGAGCCCATGAACCTTCAGGTGTGTCCACCAAACCAGGAAGTGAGTTAGAACATGGGAGTGAGCTCCAGCCAGCCCACAGCTCCAGCTACAGAAAAACGAAGAGAACGGGGGACAAGTAAAACGATATCTGCTAACATTCATGGTGGCGAGCGTTAACGTCAAATATTTAAAGTTTACTGAGTTGTTCCAGAACATTTGGAAGTAATGGTTGTTCTAAAGTATATTGTCTGTAACGTGCAGGAAGTGTGTGTCAGGTGTGTCATGCTGTCCAGATCTTTGTCAAACTGAGATTTTATTGTAATCTAAAATGGGCTTAATTTATATTTCTCCAGACTTTCTGGACAATTTTTGGTTTTTTTAGAATTCAGTTCAGTTTCAGTTCTTGAAGCTGAAAATGTTCAGATAATTTTTTTTAATTTTGATTTTGTTAAAACCACCAAGCCCTGATCTCTGGATCAGCCAGACATCAAAACTCAAGGGATGGACTAGTGTCCTGACACACAACAGACAACTTGGTGACGCTCAGGTTGTCTCTCTGTTATCAGCGGCCGTCACAGAGACTCAGTTTGTTTCTTTAGCTGAATCAGAGCAGCGTTACAGATAATGAAAATGTAGCTCCAACCAGGACATTCCCAAAGAGCCTCCAGCTGAAAACTGGGGTCCTCGGCTCTTTGACAGATTTTAACAAGTTTACCAAATACAATGTTGTTAAAAACACGTTTTACGTTCCTTAAAGTTGTTTTTAAGTTTCTCTAAGACGGACGTATTTATAGTTCTGGTCTTTCTCTGAATTAATCTCTTCGTGTGAAACAGACACAGCTGAGGAGGTAAAGGAAGCGGTGAAAGAGACGCCTGAGTGTGATTAAATGATGCTCGCCTCGTCTCTCAGGTCACCACGGTCTGGGTTCCTGCCAGAACCTTGGTTCTCCAAAGTGTCCCTCTGAGGAGCCTCCATGGATCTGAAACCTGAGCAGAGAGCCTCAACACGACTGCAGGTGGAGACAACAAAGACTTCCTGTCTCCTGTTCGAGTCCTTCCAGAGCACTGACTCGGTGGGCAGAGAGTCTCTGGAGTTTCTCTGGTTCTGACCTGGACTGGACTTTCTGCTGTAGAACAGAACATTAGTACATCACTGAGATTCACGCTCTGCTGTGGGAAAAAACATTTAGAGGGTGAAAAGTGTTAAAAACAGTTAGAGCAAGAACATCATTAAAAACAGTTAGAGCGAGAACATGGTTAAAAACATTTAGAGCGAGAACATCATTAAAAACAGTTAGAGCGAGAACATAGTTAAAAACATTTAGAGCAAGAACATCATTAAAAACATTTAGGGCGAGAACATGGTTAAAAACATTTAGAGCGAGAACATCATTAAAAACATTTAGAGCAAGAACATCATTAAAAACATTTAGGGCGAGAACATGGTTAAAAACATTTAGAGCGAGAACATCATTAAAAACAGTTAGAGCGAGAACATCGTTAAAAACATTTAGAGCGAGAGCATCATTAAAAACATTTAGAGCGAGAACATGGTTAAAAACATTTAGAGCGAGAACATCATTAAAAACAGTTAGAGCGAGAACATCATTAAAAACATTTAGGGCGAGAACATGGTTAAAAACATTTAGAGCAAGAACATGGTTAAAAACATTTAGAGCGAGAACATCATTAAAAACATTTAGAGCGAGAACATGGTTAAAAACATTTAGAGCGAGAACATCATTAAAAACAGTTAGAGGGAGAACATCGTTAAAAACATTTAGAGCGAGAACATGGTTAAAAACATTTAGAGCGAGAACATCATTAAAAACAGTTAGAGCTAGAACATAATTAAAAACAGAGAACATCGTTAAAAACAGAGAACATAATTAAAAACAGAGAACATCGTTAGAAACAGAGAACATTGTTAAAAACATTTATAGCAAGAACATCAATAACAGACTGACACACACACGAACACACACACATACATTGTCTGCCTTTTGTCTTTCACTGGTCGATGGTAACATCTGTTTTTGGGTCTGAAACCCATTAAAACGTGAAGAAGAAGAAGAAGTCCCCTGTTCAAAAAGTGGGACCGTAGAGTGTGTTCCATCTACAGGGGGATCACGCTGTTAAGCCTCCCTGGTAAGGTCTATTCGGGGGTTCTGGAGAGGAGGGTCCATCGGATAGACGAACTTCAGATTCAGGAGGAGCGGTGCAGTTTTTGTCCTGGTCGTGGAACACTGGACCAGCTCTACACCCTCAGCAGGGTCCTGGAGGGTGCGTGGGAGTTTGTCCAACCAGTCTACATGTGCTTTGTAGACTTCGAGAAGGCGTTCCACCACATCCCTCGGGGAACCCTGTGGGTGGTACTCCAGGATTATGGGGTACCGGGCCCTTTGATACGGGCTGTTAGGTCCCTGTATGACCGGTGTCAGAGCCTGGTCCACATTGCCGGCAGTAAGTCGGGCTCGTTCCCGGTGAGAGTTGGACTCCACCAAGGTTGCCCTTTGTCACCGATTCTGTTCATAACTTTTATGGACAGAATTTGTAGGCGCAGCCGAGGTGCTGAGGGGATCTGTTTTGGTGGCCTAGGATCACGTCTCTGCTTTTTGCAGATGATGTGATATACATCATTATTCTATAAATCATTTAAAGGTCCAAATATGACATTAATGCCTGTGATGAAGTGGTGGATACATCTGAGCACAAAAAGCTTCAAACGACCCAACTATCATCGAAAAAATGAACTTTCTGCAGGATGACAGCTGCTGAGACCAGACCTGCTCCAGACCGGGTCAGCAGAACCCATCCTGTTGGATCTGCTATTAAAGCAGCAGTAATCAGATGTTAGCTGCGTTCTGACTCGGTTCTGTGTGTGAAGCTGTTGGGTTGAACCAGATGAACACATTGATTTAACGGAGCGTCCTGCAGCCTGAAGCTGTGAATTAATGACATTGGACCAAGTGTCACGCTCCTGTGGAGAACTGGGTGAACACACTGACCCACAAACTCCACGTGGAGTAAAGATCGGCTTCACACACACGTCACATCTCAGAGACACTACAACAGCAGAACATCTGGATCAGTAAATGAATGAAGACTCAAACTGGCAGAAGAACCTTCAGGAGAGCAGCGTGAGGTTCTACATCCTGATCCAATCCACTGATCGATGCCCAACAAGGACGGGGGAGTCAGGATCATTTCCACCCACTAATCAATGAAGCTGATCGGACTCTGAGAGGTCCACACAGCTGGAGCTGCAGAACCTCAGAGGTCCACAGAGACAGCCAGAGGACAGCAGGAGAGACGATGGTCAAACCAAGTCCAATCCACGGGGTTCTGTTTCTGATGGAGGTGGCTGCTGCAGGTAAGACTGACTCACCTGTTCACTCACCTGTTCACTCACCTGTTCACTCACCTGTTCACTCAGCGACGTCACGTTTATCTCTAAATAAAACTAAGAGCAGCAGAGACACACTGGGTGAACCCTGTTTAAAGACAACAAAGTCCATGCTCAGTAATCCAGGTATACAATCCAACATTTTTCAGTCAGGTCATCTGGACAGTTTCTTTTTTTTGTGCTGAAACGTTTCGCTTTCAATCCAGAAGGCTTCATCAGTCAAGGAAACACACAACAAACTGATTCTTCCCCCAACAGCTTACTCCAAAGTGGAACAAACCAGTTTGGTTGGTGTTAAGATGGTCTCTTTGGTACGCCCCCTCCTCCTGTTTAAAGGCGTGTAAAGTTTGTGGGGGTAAGAAAAGTTTACTTGCAAATAATTTTGTAAAGTTTAGACGGATAAAAAGTGACAACACTCAAGTTGAACATTCTGTGGCAAAATCTGCTCCACTTCAAAATAAATAAATAAAAAATCATCAAACTGTGATTGTAAAACCCGTTAATGATCCAAACTGCAGCTCATAGAAAGTTTGACCTGTTTAAACTGTGGTGGAGGGTTCGGTGTTCGGGAGGAGTTGAAAAAGTAAAGACTTCAGTTTTGACGCTAACTCCTTAATATTTATGTCAAATCTATTTTTACTGATTTTGAAATTTGGCTTGTTGTGACTTTCTGCTCGATGTGGGAGGTGAATCACTGCAGCGCACTTAAAGAGGAAGGAAGACTCAAAGTTTTCTTGTGAGTCAGAAAGAGGAACTGGACTTGGCTGACATGAATCAGGGCTCACATCCCTGCACAGTCAGGGGGGGGGGGGGGGCTGCGCTGGGACAGAGATTTAATTAAACATGACCCACAAGCCTTCATTATCCAGAGCACAGCTGGGCTGATCGATTCTCGTCGTGCTGTCCTGATCAATGGGTTTATTTACAGAGCTGTTCTGAAGGAGACACGCTCCAACTTCCTCTTTTCATTTCCCGTCTCCAGCAGGCTTGTTGAAAGCTGACGTCTCCCCGCCTGATGGGGGGGACACCATCAGCCACCCCCTGACCCTGGTGCAGCGCCTGGAGGCCCTGCTGCTCCAGGCGAACGGAAGTGACGTGACGCTGCGTGTGGAGACGCCCAACGCCGACGAGGTGAAGGTGATCCAGGCCCACTCCCTGGTCCTGTCCCTGCAGAGCCCCGTGTTCCAGGAGATGCTGCGAAGCAGGAACAGCAGCACGGTGGTGCTGGGGGAGAGCTCCGACTGCGCAGCCGTGTTCGACAAATTCATCAGGTGAGAGACATCTCCCCCCGCAGAGGGCGCACTGCCCCCCTGCGGGGATGAACCGCCCTCTGTAGGGATGAAGTGCCCTCTGCGGGGATGAACCACCCTCTGTAGGGATGAACCGCTCTCTTTGGGGATGA